CAAACCGCATCAAGAGCTCAGGAATTATCGTTCCTACGAGCCCTTCCTGGGAACACACCTCCTGTGACCAGACGCAGAAGGCCACAGGCACTGGTGGCACTGAGCATCACAGCTGCTTGAATTACAGGAAGAGAAACAACCAGATGCAGAGCTTAAACAGATCAGGAACATATGAACCCAAATCTGATCAAACTGGAATCTGATCAAGCCTTTAGATCCCACTACCAAGTCACAAGACATAAAGACAGTGGCGCATGTTAAATGACACCACAGCGATGCGAATCAGGCAAATCTGAACTACAGGAAACTCTTAAGGGACTTTCATAAAGCCTGATTTTGTCACCAAATAAATTGCAAGAGAGAAAAAAAAATCTATAGATTAAAACAAACTCAAAAGGTGTATCAACCAATCACAATGTATGGCCCCTTATTTGGATCCTGATTCAAACAAACTGTAAACACAAAAATATTTATAAGACCACTTGAAATTTGAGCAGTGATTAGATGTCAGAAGATATTACTGAGTCATTAATTTTTTTAAGATGTGAAAAAGCATTGTGACTTACTTTTATCTTTCAGAAACATATTTCATTACCTCTATACAGAATGAAATGCTGTATATGGGATTTACTTAACATTTATTAAGTTTTCAAGGAGGTAGTGAAAATTATTAATAGTGAGTCAGGGTAACAATGAAACAAGACTGACCAAGCGCTAGTAACTGCTGAAGCTAGCTGAGAGTACTCTGGGCTGCTCTTTATACTGACCTGTCTACTTCCACATGTTTAAAATTTCCCATAATAAAGTTTTTTTTACAAATGTGATCAGAAGAAACTAAATATATAAATACAGACTATGATTACTATAACCAAACTGTACCTAAAATGCCTACCTATGTTGCAAAGAACTTTTTCTGGACTATACCTTTCTTTAGTTTCTTGAAAACAAATTTATGTAAAGAAGTTTCTAAGACAGGTGGAGAAAGACAAATACCGTATGATTTCACTTATTTGTGGAATATAAAAACAAAGCAAAACAGAAGGAACAAAACAGCGTTAGGCTCAGAGACACTGAGAAATGACTAGCAGTCCCCCAGGGAGTGGAGTCGGGGTGGGAGCAGGGGCGGCGGGGAGCGAGAGGGGAATAAAAAGGACACAACAATTTCCAATCACAATCTAAGTTATCAAGGGGACTGCTGAACCACTGTGATGCGTATCTGAAACCAACGTAAGATTGTATATTAATGATACTTCAATTTTTAAAAAGTTTCTAAGAAAGAGATTATGTATGTAAATAAAAATTACATCAGTAAGAGATGAAATGTGCCCACCTGGACAGTGACTTCATCTTCCCACTATCATGTCCTTTTCTCCTCTTATTTGTGCTCTTACAAATTTAACTGTCTTGTAACTGTTTCAGCCAATGTTGTATTTTAGCAACCACAGGCACATGTAACAGTATGTCAGCTCTTGCCCACTAACTCTATGAGACAAATAAAATTTAGCCAAAGCCAAAAGTTTCCTTCTTGTCCCAACCCTAAATCAATAGAAAATTATCTACTGCGATTTTAGTGAAAAAGCTTTCTTAGTGTACAGTACCCCCTCATCTCCTGAAACACACTGATTTTCTTCCATTTGATTTTTGCTTTTTATCACAGCAACTGTTGGGAGAGCAGCTTTGCAAATATATGATATCAGCAAAAGGAAGACAATATGATCTAATATCACAATCATAAATAAACTCCACAAGCTAGCCATCTGTGTGGTATCTGAAAGCTGTCAAGATTAAGGGTTCCGTGAAGATTTAAAATGGCCCATGGCACCCCTGAATACGCAGAGGCATCCCAGAGCTCCCTGGCACAATTGGAGAGTCAAAGCCTTAAATAATGGATAAACAAACACGACGACCTCAGTCCCAATCTTTAAGCAAATGTTCTTTATTTTAACCCAGCTGACAGTTGAACAATGTGAGTGAGGGTTAGGGGCACAGACCCCCTGCAAAGTAGAGTATCTGCATGTAACTTTTGACTTCCCCAAAACTTAACTACTAACAGCCTACTATTGACTGGAAACCTTGCACATATTTTGTGAACACACATTTTGTGATGTTGTATGTATTATATACTGTATTCTTACAATAAACGAGAGAAAAAATGTTTTTTCTAATTGTCTCAAATCTTCAAAAGTTTTCCAATATATTTACTGAAAAAAATCGCATGTAAGTGGGCCTGTGCAGTTCAAACCTAGTTTGTTCAAGGTTCAACTGTAAATTATAACACAGTATTTTGAATTTAAAACATAAATTTCTTTCATGTTTTATGTCTAAAATGCATACCTGTAAGAAAAAAAATTAGACTTCCAGTGGGAAGGAATTCACTGGATTTAATTTGCTACCCTGTTACTCACAGACAGAAATCATGTAATAAATCATAAATATACATGCCCATATACAGCTAGTCTTGTGCAAGGTTGTAATACACAGTTAACATCAGTGAGTCTCCCATTCCCTCACCTGATTCAATTTCCAGTGGAATTCTGCAGGTTTGTATTTCTTCTCTTCTGAAGGATTCTGGCGGAGAAGGAAAATAAGCCGGCAGCCATGGACATAAAGTGAATAATGGTGCCGGTTCATATCTGCAAATAGAAATTCCACTGGTAAATGGCCAATTTAAGACCCAAAGGAGAAATAAAAGCTGTTTCTCTAATGGATTTTGAAGACACTGTTTTATCAGCATAAATGAACTTTCCAACCGGGCCAGGACAGGGGTCAGAAACAAACACAGTTGGGTTTTACTGAGAAGTGGGCCCAACTCACTGAGTAAAACGACAAGCACATCCAGTGCAGTATCCTGAGGACGGAGCGCCTGGCACAGAACAGCACAACGTAGGCCGCCCGCCAGCCCAGCCTCCAGCCCCCACTGCAGTGGCCACCATTTACAGCAAAACTAACTCACCTGTTTTGTCTGAGCTGCAAAGAATCGTCTCCTTCTTCCTGCCGAATGGCCCGTGCCTCATCCACACGGAAACTGTAAAAGGCTCTTTGGGGCTGATGGAAACAACGCCATCTGGGATCCTCACGGCCTGAGTGCCGTTGAACTCGAAGACCTGGTCGCTGTCGTGGCCATTGTCCGTGGGCAGGCCGGAGGTCCAGTTCCAGGGCCCGCTGGGGGAAGGGAGCAGCTCAGCAGTGCCAGACGCAGCGCCTACAACACAGTGACACCTGCTGTGCGCCCTGGGAAGGACCTAACAGTGCCCACACTCAAAGCTACGCCGAGGCACTGTCCTGAGCTTACATTTTAAAATTTGCTAGTTCCAGTTTATCTCAAAAAGAAGGATTTTGTTACAAAAAAAATCCACTAATAACTGGATATTAAAAAAAACAAAAGGAAGAAAAGAAGAAAAAAGGATTACCTGTAATCCCACCCAAATATATCACTATTTACATTTGGGTGTAAATGCATCCAGTCTTTTCTTAATGAACATATATATTTGACAAAAATGGCTATATATTATTCCCATTCATATTCTTTGATAGCATAAATCTACATGTGTGACTCACATTTCTCTGCACAGATATACTGTACTTATTTAACTGTTCTTTCTGGTGGACATGAGGTTGTCCCAAATTTTCTTCTGTGTGATAGACCTTGTCCTGATTGAGGACCTTTGTGCGTCTCTACAATTATTCCCTTAGGATAAGTTCCTGGAAATGGAATTGCTGAGCCAAAGAACATGAAAGGGTTTTTCAGCTGTTGTAACATATCGCCAAGTTTCGTTTGCTTTTAAAGGTGTCCACAAATTTTGCAAGCTGTCCCTGTCACTTTGTCCCTGACTTGTCTATTCCTAGGAACAGCATCATTTGGCTGAAACACCCTTGTCTTCCGAATAACATGCAGCCTCAGTTATTCAGAAGCTGTGCCAATCCCAGCTGTGCCACTTTCAAAAGTGTGACCTCGAGTGACCAACTTGGTGTTTCTCAATCTCAATTCCTCTGTAAAAAGTGGGCAATACACCTCCTTTGAGGCCTGATGGGAAGATTAAGTGAAATAACACATGTGGAAATACACATACACAACATACAGTATGCACTCATACATGAAAGTTTTCATTCTTCCTAACCTTAAACTGTTCTGAGAAAATGTTCATTTAATACCATAAAAAACGGCATAATGAAAGAGAAAACACATTTCCACATCTCTCGGCTTACACATATTTAGGTACATGATTATAAATATTTGGGCTCAGAATCGTAACAGACCTAAGTCTATTCATCACCATGACAACAGACTTTTTCCCTTTTGCTTATTCACGATGTAACGATTCCCAAGTAGGCACGAAAACCAGCTGCCTAAATCTCACTGTCGTCAGGCTAGTGAGACAGGTATCAGAAAACGCTTCTGAGAAACTGTTACTGAGTAGCTCCTGAAACACAAAACACCCCTCTGATTATGAAAAGGCCATTTAAGTTAATTACTGGATTTTACCACTGGCCAAGTCAAACATTCTTCCTCAGCAGTGCCCAAGAAAGGCACCCACGTCACAGTGACCTCCTTTACATAAACCAGAAAAACACTCGCAACTGATGCTGCAAAGGGAGCCCGCCCCTCGGTCAGACTGGCAGCCATTCTGACTCACGGCTTCACGCCATGTTTGTGGTACATGAGCTCCGCCGAGATTATCATTAGATGTGAGCACCCTTAGCTGCTTTTCTACTTCACGTCTGCCAAAAGCTATTGCATCACCTACATACATTTTTGGTCCTTAACCACATAAACATCATTTCATTTAAAACTCACTGACCCCTGTTTTGATGATTCTCTGTCTGTTAGAGAAATACTTTCTTCAAATCACCGGTTCTTAAAAATACACAGACATAACATTTTGAACACTTTCAGGGGTTTACATTCCTCCTAAAGCCCATCCAGTATGAAAATTAGCCAGTGAGGCAGCCAATGGCTGCTTCTGACAGCTGGAGTCGCTGCTGTGGTCTGGGATCACGAACACCCACCCACACACACACACACACACACACACCCACACACACATACATACACTTCCACTTCTGAGGATCCCTCTCCTGCCCTCACTGAAGACCACCAGGCCTCCTTACCGCAGAGCCGGTGAAGGGATTTCTCGGAGTAGGTGTCCCGGTCACAGCCTTTCCCTATGTGGCTGGTCTCCAGCTCCACCGTCGCCTGCACGGAGGCCACGGACTCATCACACGTCTCCAGGTGGGCGTCTGGGAAGAGGGCCAAAGCGCCCGTGCCAGGCTCGTACTCGATCCTGCTGTTCCATCCTGTGTCGGTCCACAGCGGGGTGGGGAGAGGGAGGAGAACACACTTCCGGTTTCCGTGGCAGACAAGTTTAGGAACAGGTGTGAGGGCAGGAGAAGAGGACGGCACTCACCCTGCCACCCAGGGGTGCAGGTGGGCTTAATGCTGATCTTCACCAAAACATCTTCTGTGGCTCTTTTCTTCCCGCAGTCGTAGGCGGTGACCGTCAGCTTATACTGATGTTCTTTGCCATAGTTGAGCTTCTCTGTGTTTTTTATATAACCTTCCAGAGGAAAACAACAACAGTGAGGGCCCAAACCCATGCTGGTTGTCGATTCTGCTGTCTTGTGCTAAACACAAAATGTGCGTGGCCACAGGCCCAGTAAATACTGACACAGAAATGACCTTTACGCTGGAGATCCATAACGCTCTATCTGGCTTTCCTGGGCTGGAACAACACTAAATCCTCCTTTACAGACTGTTTAAACAGAAGGAATGAATCTATACAATCCAACCTTCATTTATTCTTACGGGTTTTTTAAAAAATACATGACAGATATATATTTTACTGTATATGCATTTTTGTTTCAGTTTAAGATTTAATAATTAATATGTAAGAAGGACAAAATAACTCAAGTACTTCAAATATTAAACACAAGAGTAAGCTGCATTACATACTTCTTGCTAAAAGATTTACTTTGTTAGTGAGAGACTGATTTCCTGACCCCACCCACGAGAACAGAAGCCTGCTTTTGAACATGAATTTAGGCACACCTCATTTTACTTCATTTCGCTTTACTGC